TATTTTTGTGGGGTAGGAGAGTACAACCGTTGGCTTCATTGGGGCTCAAAGTCAGTGTCCCCCATCATCAGAATCCATGGTAATGTTCCACTGCAAGTGCTGACCTGTAATGAGCTTATGTGTTTCACGTGAAAATGTCTTCGGAATGACGGCTACTGGTATCAATTCGTGAGCGTTTAATTTTAATAGAGCACGTTCCTTACTTGGAAGGCGTCTAGAGAATGCTATTCGATTTTTCTCCTGATACTTGTGTTCAGTGCATGCTGATACACTGCAGATTCGTCACTTCTAACTAACGGTTAGGTGGAAGGTCACACCTGCCGGTCACTGGGTTTTTGAACTATGGACACTTCCTTAGCACATGCATCAAATCCCAGAAACTGCTGCTAACTGTAGTGTGAGCTCAAAAGGTCTATGTGCTGCAAATCTGTGTGGAAATAGAGATCTCATTTCTTTTTACTTTTGATGGCATGAGAATTAGATAAAGCAATTTGACATGACTTGCGATTCCAACAATGTTCGCTGTCAAAATGACTTCGCCACAGTGTAAGTTTTGCATGTAAGTGCTGTTTTGTCTCACAATTTTAGGTAAAACTTATTTTTAAAACATATCAAGTCTACAGGAAAAGCTAATTTCAAAGCTATTGAATATTTTATACTAATGCGTGAGGGTGAGGTTTTTTATTCAGAAATGTTTCGATCTTGGCCCTCTGCAACAAAATGTTGACACTGCAAAAGCACTGAATGGCTGAACGAAGAGCAAGTGAGGACATTCAGCTTTGGTTTCTGACGAAAATTCATGGATATGGTAACACTCGTTTCCGTAAGACTGAATGAAGTCCACCAGTGATATTCCTGGTTCAGTAACAAATGATGGATTCAAGTGTGTGCTGCAAATTACCTGCTGATTAAGGAGACAGTGAATACCCATGGGCTCTGGGCACCGGATATCTTTATGTAACTTGTATGTCTGTCTGACAAAGCCTCTTCCTACTCCACACCCACTTTCACCACTCTCTCTTATAATACGTACTAGCAAATCCCAAGGCAGGTTGTAGCAACGTCTCTGAAAATACGATTGGCTATAATTGTTCCACACCAAGTATTAGTAAAGGCTGATTCCTCAGGACCACAAATTCAGCACGCCTCCTCAAGTCACAACAAAAGAGCAGGACCTGTAACCTCTTCTACCTCAAGAGCCAAAAGCAACTGCTCAAAATCACTTCCTGGTTTTCAGAACAACCGCTCATGCTCCCAATGCTCCCCATTCTTGAAGCAACCGTTCCCCCAAAAGGCGAATACTGTGAGACAAGTTTATTTTCTGTGAACATGTTCCTTTGGCTGCAGCAGTCAAACGTGACTGAATTCACTCAATGCTGGTACATGGCCTTCCTGCATGGCTAACAAACGAGCCACTCAGAAGTTCACTATAGCTCATTTTGGTTTTTGCGAAGAAGTTCTATGGTGAAAAGATATTGTTTTGTATTTTTTACTTTCCTGACTGCTGCCTTCCTGGGAGCTGGGAAGGTCCCGTGGATGCTGGCCGGTCCAGCAGGCCCACTGCGGTGCAGCAGCATAGTCACACCAGGCTGGCATTTAACTTGTTAACAGTATCACCCCCACTGCGCTGTGCCTGCAAAGCGGGCTCGGTGAAGTCTGCATGTGCACTATTAATGACATGAATAATAAAATGTCACAGGATCGCAAGACGTATGCCATCAGAAATGCTATCAAGTTGTTAACTGTCACTGAAATTTGTAGGCTGCTGAGCCCATTGAGAGTAACACACACGTGCAGTGTCTGCGTGTCATGGGGCCAGCTGCAGTCACGTGAGGCCGACTCTGCCATCATCGTGCAAAAGCAGCCACTGACAATGTACAAATCAGCAAGAACAGCTTTGTCCCAACAGAATTTTATGGACACTGAAGTCTGAATTTTATAACACATGTCACAAAACATTTTTTTGATTTTTTTTTTCAAATATGTGAAAATTCTTAGCTCATGGGTTGTACAAAAATAGGTGGCGAGCCAAATTTGCACTGCAGGCCAGAGGTGGCCAAAAACTGATCCAGAAAATAAGGACTGCCTAGGCGATACAACGCTGTTTACCTTCAGGAGCCCTAACCCCCTCCGTGGGTCACGCAACAACTCAAACCCAAAGCACACCAAATTAAACCCATCACCCTCCTTCTGCTCTACATTTTCCCTTCCCAAATATATTTCCCTACTCAATTCATCCACTGCTAAGCACCAAATCCCCCAAGTCAGACGCTGGAAAATTCCGATTCACCCACTCTCTCCTGAGGCCCTCCTCGAACTCAGAATTGGTCCAAGCTCCTCAGCGCACTGCCGTACAGTCTGGAAGCGCCATTCTGTACTCCTTGACGTCTTGCCACTGTGATCACACTGGCTCCCTCAAACACCCCTCTTGTCCCTTGCTGCCACAGACTCCGCAAGGTCCTAAAACAGCCATTTCACATTTGGCTCTGTGAGGGACACCTGAGTGAGCATGACAGAAGGCAGAAGGAAGAAGCTAAGAGACCAGTCAGGGCCGTTCCATTTCTGTATGCTTCACTGTCGAGGCTTACAGATAGAAAGTCATTCTAAAAAATACCCAAGAGTTCCATGACCCAAAAAACCCCACTGTTTTGAGAAACATGGCTGTGAAAGTCTAATTTCCTTACCGTAACATGTAAGGTGCTATATGATGTGACTCTCTCAACTCTCCGTCCCCATCTCCAAACCCCTTATTCTACCCTGCGTCGGGGTGAACATAACAAGCTTCAATCTCCACACTTTGGCTCACCAAGCCCTCTCTGCCACTTCTCCCTTCTTGGTTTAGCTAATTTGTATTTGTCTTAGAATAGTCCTCATTTGAATAAATGTTATACTTTCTTCATCTGAAATAATCTGAAAATATTATTCACCTGATTTTGGATTTATTGTCTGGAACAATAAGAAGAGAGATCTTTTGTCTTTCTTACTCCTGAATCTCCAGAATCTAGAAAACAGTGCCTAGCCGATGGCACATATCCAATAAACAACTATCACATGAATAAGAAATCTTATTAATTTTTTTAAAGATTTTGAGAGATCTTTTGGGACTTCATCAAAATCAAAAGCTTCTGCACAGCAAAGGAAACAGTCAACAAAACAAAGAGGCAACCCAAAGAATGGGAGAAGATATTTGCAAATGACAGTATAGACAAAAGGTTGATATCCAGGATCTATAAAGAAGTTCTCAAACTCAACACACACAAAACAGACAATCATATCAAAAAATGGGCAGAAGATATGAACAGACACTTCTCCAACGAAGACATACAAATGGCTATCAGACACATGAAAAAATGTTCATCATCACTAGCCATCAGGGAGATTCAAATTAAAACCACATCGAGATACCACCTTACACCAGTTAGAATGGCCAAAATTAGCAAGACAGGAAACAACGTGTGTTGGAGGGGATGTGGAGAAAGGGGAAGCCTCTTACACTGTTGGTGGGAATGCAAGTTGGTGCAGCCACTTTGGAGGAGAACAGTGTGGAGATTCCTCAAGAAATTAAAAACAGAGCTTCCCTATGACCCTGCAATTGCATTACTGGGTATTTACCCCAAAGATACAGATGTAGTGAAAAGAAGGGCCATCTGTACCCCAATGTTTATAGCAGCAATGGCCATGGTCGCCAAACTGTGGAAAGAACCAAGATGCCCTTCAGCGGATGAATGGATAAGGAAGATGTGGTCCATATGCACTATGGAGTATTATGCCTCCATCAGAAAGGATGAATACCCAACTTTTGTAGCAACATGGACGGGACTGGAAGAGATTATGCTGAGTGAAATAAGTCAAGCAGAGAGAGTCAAGTATCATATGGTTTCACTTATTTGTGGAGCATAACAAATAGCATAGAGGACAAGGGGAGATGGAGAGGAGAAGGGAGTTGAGGGAAATTGGAAGGGGAGGTGAACCATGAGAGACTATGGACTCTGAAAAACAACCAGAGGCTTTTGAAGGGGCGGGGGGTGGTTGGGGAAACCAGGTGGTGGGTATTAGAGAGGGCACGGATTGCATGGAGCACTGGGTGTGGTGCAAAAAACCATGAATACTGTTATGCTGAAAATAAATTTTAAAAAATTAAAAAAAAAAAAAAAAGATTTTGAGAGAGAGAAAGCATGAGCGGGGGGTGGGAAAGAGTAGCAGAGGGAGAGGGAGAAGCAGACTCTCCACTGAGCAAGGAGCCCTGCAGCACAGGGCTCGCTCGATCCCAGGACCCCAAGATCACAACCATGAGCCGAAGGCAGATGCTTAACCGACCGAGTCACCAAGGTGCCCCTATCTTATCAATTTTATAACCCAGTACACAGTGTTGTATCTGGCACACAGCAGGAACTCAACACACGTATGCTAAAAAACCATGAAATAAAAATTTAGGCCCGAAGATGAAGAGCCTCGAACAGCAGGCCCAGTGATGGCAGGTTCCACCTTCATTTCCTGTTCCTTTCTTTTTATCCCTTCAATCTTCAATTAGTAGCGCTTCTCGGATTTCGATTTTCCTCTGACCTTGTTCCCAACTTCTTCCATCACGTGGTTCATAATGTCCATAGAAAATCAGACGCAGCCTCAATTTTACATGTGGCTCTCTACTTCAAGCAGCACGTGGCCACGTTGAAAAATATGTAAAATTCCAAGCAGTGATAGACTATTACAAATAAAATATACTGGGAAAATCATGAAAAGAAAAATCCTGAGCACCTCTTACAGAATTTAAATGTCTGGATTTAGTTTGGACTTGCTTATGAAAAAGCATAAAAAATTCCAGTAGGAAGCTATCAAATTATCCAGGGCTGGGGGACATATTAAATACACAATTTATACGCTGTGAAATTCAGTGGTTTTCTAAATAAAAACTACATTTAAAAATGCTTAAAAGAGCATAATGCTAAATTCTGCCAATAAAAATGTAATAAAAATATAGAAACATAAAAAGTGATTCTTACTAAGTTATTGTCATCCTGGAAAGCATAATGCAGAGTTGTAATCCATTTATTATCTCCATTCACTAATACATCCCTTTCTTCACGAAAACATGCTGTCTGAAAAGGAAAAACAAATGTTTTTTAATCAGAGGACACTTTATATATATATGTATATATATATTATGCAAACAATGGCTTAATGTGTTTATTATACTTTCAGTCCTAGAAAAGGAAAACGTTTATTATACTTCCTGTCCTGGAAAAGGAATATGTTTATTATACTTCCCGTCCTAGAAAAGGAATACATCCATCTGATATGACTTTTCAACTAGTCAAGCACCCACAGAAAGTGGACAATGGGAATAGTACACTTGAGAACATTTTATATTAAAAAATATTGCTATAGTTTAAAAAAAGGAAAAAAAAAACAGAAAAAAAGCATGCATGCATTTAAGGACTACAGTCCAACCTACCATTTAGATAATATAAACATTAACATTTTGCCATCTCTACTTCTGTTTTTATTTTTAAGAAATAAAATACAAGTAAATTGTAGTCTTCCTCCTCATTATACATTTCCCTACTTCCTCCTGATAAAATGAATAATCCTAGTGCATACTATGCTCTTCCCTTCATATGCTTTGATCACACATGTATGTGTCCAAAACACCACAACTGTTTTACATTTTGAAAGTTTACATGAATGTTATAATTTTATCCACCCTGTTGCAATTTGATTACTTCTTATTCAGTGATGGCTGTTTTCCTTTCAACTGCTATGGCATTTGCTTGTCTGAATATACCAGAATTTATGTATGCAAACCCCAACCAGGAAAACATAGGTTACTTTCAATCTTGTTTTTATGATGTTGCAATGAATATATTTGTACAAATGTACAAGAGCCTCTCCAGGGCATATACTTAGAAGTTGAAATGCTAGCTATAAGCATTCTCCACTTTACTAGACATAGCCAATTTTCTCTCTTAACTGTGTACTGATTACTATCCTCACCCCAGTGTAGAAATCTCCTTTACCCCACCCCACATCCTCAACTGCATCTGGCATTACTGGACTCTTAAATGTGTCAATACGATGGGTGTAAAACCACACCTCAATGTTTTTTGATCAACATATTCCCAATTCTCCATGTAGATAAACAGCTCCACACATGCTTACAGGACATCTGAATTTTGTCTCTGAATTATTTGCTCCCTTTGTCCATTTTCTCTAATAAGCTATCTTTTCCTTTTTGATTTGTGAAAGTTTTAATTTATTCACCGTATTTTCACTATTACAAAGGTACATCTGGAGACACTTAGAAATATATGGCTAAAAAAATAATAATTTTATACAATACATTATTATCTGTCATCTTTATTTAACTTAAAAAATCCACTACGTCAACAAGTTCAAGAAGAACTGAAAGGTAAAGTGAAACCCAAGTCTCCTAAGTCATACCCCATACTCACACGGTCATGTGTGTCCAGAAGTCACCATCAATAACCCTGCAAAGTATCTTCTCAGAAAATTGGTCTCTGTAAGCATGAACATGCGCACGCACACGCACAAACACAATATCCCTGTGGTACCCCATTTCCCCTCGTTTTTCTTTTCTTTATACAAATCAGATCACAGTGCTCTGTAAATTTTTTTTTTCCAAGTAATGATATACTGAACAATTTGTCACACCAGTAGAGACCCACCTACTACCTAATTCTTAACGGCTGCACCATGTCCATGCACGCTGAAAAGCCATCACACAGTATTCGATTGACAGGCAGGGAGGGTTTAGTTACTTATTTGCCATAAAACAAATTCAATAGCCATGATATACAAAACAATTAACATCAATATCCCCTAATTAGGTACCTTAATTTTTTCCATGTATTCCCCAAAATTTTATTTGATCAAATGAAACTTCCAAAGTCATGCATGGAATAGCACCAGAGAAAAATTTAAAAACAATTAAACCTTAAACCAAATAAATGGGCAGGTTGACCTGACAATTCGATTATTAAAATCCACATCATTATGCTTTGGTTCACTTTTGCGGTAAAAGAGAACCACCTGACACACTCACTGCTAAGTCGTATTTTAGAATTTAAGTGACCTACGATTCTCATTTGCTGCTAATGGTTCTGAGTAAAGATGGTCAGAGCCAAAAAGACTCTTTGCTCCTGACTATCTTATTATGACAGCTTTCTGGAATCTCACAGACATTCCAGCTAAATTCTAGTAAACGAATGATTAGGGACTCCAAACTCAACAAAGCTCTAAAGACGTTTTGTCAACAGATTAAACTTTAGTACATTCTCATCTATTCTAAACTGTTTCAGTGAAAAAATAAATTAAAAAATAAATAAAAAATATAAACTATGACCTAAAACTTCAAACACATACGAGAAGAGTACAACCCACTCCTCCCCACAACATCCTCATCAACCAACTTCAACAATGATGTTATTGTTCAATCCTGCTTCATCTACACCCCCACCCCCTCAACCCATCCCTCAACCCCTGTCCAGCACCTTTCACATACCACACTCCCTCCAAGCACAAGAATATGCGTGTGTACACACACAAGGTTTTTTCTGAAGCAAATCCTAGACATCATGTGACTCTATTCATAAGTACTTAGGTATTAAACTATCCCTATTAATGCCTCAGATACTGAGTTCAAAAGCATTGTGTCCTTTTCTGCTTCAGTAGGTCACACTGTCCTCAGTCATCACAACCGGGGATGTGGTGGGTTACGACAATCTACTATAAAAAGGCTGCTACACATCCTACAAAGGACAGGACAGACCGCACAAGGAATCATCTGGCCCCAAATGTCACAAGTGCCACTGCTGAGAAACCCTGTTTCAAATCAGTATTAACCAAACCACGATGCATGTGCACAAGGTTCATCACTCCATGTGGATAAAGGCTATAATAACATCTACTTCTACCTTTAAAAAAAAAACCTAAACAATTTTTTTATTACCATATAATGTATTATTTGTTTAAGGGGTACAGGTCTGTGAATCATCAGTCTTACACAATTCACAGCACTCACCATAGCACATACCCTCCCCAATGTCCATTACCCAGTTACCCCATCCCCCCACCACCTCCCCTCTAGCAACCATCAATTTGTTTCCTGAGTTTAAGAGTCTCTTATGGTTTGTCTCCCTCTCTGGTTTCATCTTGTTTCATTTTTCCCTCCCTTCCCTTATGATCCTCTGTCTTGTTTCTCAAATTCCTCCTATCAGTGAGATCATATAATTGTTTTTCTCTGACTGACTCATTTCACTTGGCAAAACATCTCTAGTTCCATCTACGTTGCTGCAAATGGCAAGATTTCATTTCTTTTGATGGCTGCAATATATATACAATATTCCATTGTATATATATACCACATCTTCTTTATCTATTCATCTGTTAATGGACACCTAGGCTTTTTCCTGAGTTTGGCTACTGTGGACATTGCTGCTATAAACATTCAGATACACGTGCTCCTTCAGATCACTACATACATTTGTATCTTTAGGGTAAATACCCAGTAGTGCAATTGCTGGGTCATAGGGTAGCTCTATTTTCAACTTTTTAAGGAACCTCCATGCTGTTTTCCAGAGTGACTACACCAGCTTGCATTCCCACCAACAGTGCAGGAGGGTTCCCCTTTTAAACCATTTTTTAATATCCTCCTGTAAAAACAGAATATCTAAATAGATGAAAATGTAATAAATATGTAGGAGGGGTTACTGGAGGTCATAGAGCTTCTTCAGATGCTGTCACAGATCAGGAAAAGGGAAGGGACTGCTGAAACACTGAAAAGAGTTTGTGAATGATGAACAGGCAGCGACAGCGACCTCTGTACCCATAAGGTTAGTTAGCAAAACTCAGCTGCCCAGGTACAGAAAGAGAGAGGGTATCCTGCTACCTTCCAATGATGCATGTCTCACTAATCATTTATTTGTGATATATCTTAAATGGAAATAAATGCAGCCAATAGGTCAGGGGTAGATCTTTGGAAAAGTATTTAAAGCATCAACAACACATAGGTAAAAAATCAAGACATTTCGCTGCTTATCTGTAAGTTATTAAACATCACTGGTAGGCTCAGTTTTCCAAAGCTGGATAAGTCATGGCCAGAATAGAGTTTTTTTAAACACGTGTTTAAAAAAGGACTTGATAACTCAAGCACAGAAATACAATTCCACTCTACTTCAAAATGAAGCTCTATGTAAAAATTTCAGTGTCGAATTTCTTCCTAGAAGAGGAAAGTTTCAAGCAGTTTTTTTTTAATTTAATTTAATTTGTGTGTGTTTCAAAAATCATTGTTCATGCACCTCACCCAGTGTTCCGTGCAATACATGCGCTCCTTCAAGTGGTTTAAGGAGAGCTCCTTTTAAATACTGAACCAAGGGCACCTGGGTGGCTCAGTGGGTTAAAGCCTCTGCCTTTGGCTCAGGTCATGATCTCAGGGTTCTTGGATCGAGCCCCGCATGGGCTCTCTGCTCAGCAGGGAGCCTGCTTTCTGCCTGCCTCTCTGCCTACTTGTGATCTCTATCTGTCAAATAAATAAATAAAATCTTAAAAAAAAAAAATACTGAACCAGCTTTGTGTCCCCGAAATAAAACCCACTCAGTCATGTTGTACCCACAAGTCCTTTTACACACTGCTGAATTCTATTTGCTAACATGTTGTTAAGGTTATTTGAATCTATGTTCATGAGGCACTCTGGTCTTTAATTTTCTCTGTATGGTCCCTGTCGGGTTTTCTATGGGAATAATACAGGCTTCACAGAATGAGTGTTGCTTCTCAGGCCCCAAAGTCCACCTCCTCCTCTCTGCCTTGCAGAATCTCCTTAAATTTGTTTTCTATATAATGTCCAGGGTCTTTAAAACTGTTCTTAATGGAAGGGATAGGAAGAAATACATCTATTCCATCTCATCCCAGAAAGGGAATATATATATTAATGTTAATTGAACAAAATAATTTAATTTCCAATTCCTTGTTTTATCTTCAATTTTGCCACTTCTTCTATAATGAAAGCTAACCCAGTGATCCTTCCTTTTTCTTCTAATTCTCCAGAACATACCAACTTCATAGAAAACAGTGCGAACTTTAACTCTATTTTTAAAACTTCTAATGCTGAAACACTAAATGGACTACAATTATGATTTCCATGAAACAATTAGAACAGATTTATTTACTTTCTTACTAATAAGACTTGTTGCTCCAGCTGCTGACAATGCTGTCAGCTCCCTCACAGTCTGCCTCAGTTGCGGAAGCTCTACGATCCCAAGGCCATGTCCTGCTGGAGGTGGCCCGGAGCCAAAGAAAGATTTCTAAGAGCTAATTTCTTCTTAGAGAGATCTTCCGAACCTCCAGAGCTACTGCTGAGCCTATGCAACAGTCTGATCCTCCTACAAGGTCAAATACTAAAATACTTCCACCCTGAGGCCCCTGAGTGCCCTACCCCATCTGGCCACTCACCATGATCTCCCATGGCAGGAGATCCCCAGAATCCCCCCAAATCTATGTGTAATGTCAGTTCCAACCAGACCATACCAGCTATCCAGCATCAACATAAAAACACTGGCAATTCTTTCAAGAGCAGATTTTACTACCATCCTTCAATAATATAAAAAACACAAATTTAACTGTGTAATTAGCAATCAAGAGACTTCTTGGGGAGCCTGGGTGGCTCAGTGGATTAAAACCTCTGCCTTCGGCTCGGGTCATGATCCCAGGGTCCTGGTATCGAGCCCTGAATCGGGCTCTCTGCTTGGCGGGGAGGCTGCTTCCCCCTCTCTCTCTGCCTGCCTCTCTGCCTACTTGTGATCTCTGTCTGTCAAATAAATAAATAAATCTTTAAAAGAGAGAGAGAGAGAGAGAGAGACTTCTTAAAGGGCACATTCAAAACTCCTGCTGACTTCCACTTTGAGCAGAACATAGATAAATATGGAATAATATAAACGAGTTACATCAAGTTGGAAATCCATTATTGCAAAATTTCTTCCTATAAAATAAACTGGCTTCCACACCTCCTTTTCACATAAACATACAAGCCCCATATCCAGTGTTCAGGCAATATGAGCTAAACATCAGGAAGTATATAACTTTTATTTTTTTTTATGAATTATAACTTTTATCATCACTATATCACAATTGTAAATTGTGGAACTTGTCTTATGTCTTAAAAATAATGCCACCAAAGGTACAATGTTACTAAATGATATTTAAGTATCTATTGGCTTTATAATTTTATAGGTCTCTAAAATTACTTCTGAAACATTATTTAAATATTCCAATAATTAGAATCTTACCTCAGCTCTTTTCAGCATTTCCCATTTGTTCAATATTTTCATGGCAAATACCTTATCTGCATTTTTTAGTTTCACTACAGCAACCTAGAAAAAGAAATACAACTTTTAATATATGACAATGTAACAAATAAAACTTTTTTCAGTCATCCATTTTTCTTTTTCCTCTCTGTAAGAAAATAAATACCAACATTATCAATGATTTCCATGCAGTTCATACTCTAAGATCCGAAATCAAATACTATTGTCAGTTTAAAAAGTTACATTAGTAAATATGTGCCAAATAAATACATGTATTTTTTAACCCTGTATCAAGTAATTGTATATTATACATTCCTTTTCAAGTTCTCTGCTCTGGAATTCAAACTCAACATCTACTATCACTAGGAAATTGACTAAAATGTACAACACTGAAATAAACTAGAGCTTAGTGAATACCACGTGCCAAATTCCAACACAATACTATAAGGGAAGGCAGCTGCCAAAACAAATAAGTTTCATGGGAATCAAATAATATAAAATAAACTGAAAATGGTATTATTTTTCATACCACATATTCTTACCCACTGTACGACAACCCCCATCTCTCTGTCTTTCTCCCTCTCTCTCTCACACACACACTCACCCACACACACAAACCACTCCTGAAGATCAGGTAAGGCTAACAGCTCAACAAATTGTAGACTTCACACATTCCTTTCCAACATTAAAAGAACAAATATTTTTTGTATTTTGAATTTTAGTTAGGGATCAAAAAACTGACAAATATAAATAAATAATCCTCAACAAACTGATTCCATTGCTGTTTCTACCACTTTGCTTCAGTGTGACTAGCTAATCTCAGAGGAACCTTCCAGCTCACAGCGGACGCTGCAGGGCTGCGAAGGCACAGCAGAGCAGGAGATTAAGCTTGTTTCCAGTTCCTGGGGGCTGGGAAGAGGAAGACAAGTACTACCGTAACATGAAGAAGGAGAGGACAAACTATACACAGCATGTCTTCAAATAGTTCAAAGGGCTATTACCAAGGACAGAGAATAGGTTTAACTCAAGTATCAAAAATTTTAAAATCTTAATGGCAGATGTACATATTAGGAACATTTAATGAATTTATATTTGGGTTAGACTGCAATAAAAGTAATATGATCATATAATTAAAATCACTGTATAATACTATATAAAATAGAATATTTCTTGATAATCCTCATAAATGGTTATAATGACATGTGATTAAAATTTTTTATCAGTTAAAATGGTGGGAAAGAGGAATAGCTCGATTTCAAGTGCAATCACTTTAGTCTTCACTCATTTCTGGTCCTATCTGCAGAAATGATGGATTGGTTAAACTCTTCTCCCAGTGGGTTCATGGGTTAAAGAAAGGGGGCTGTCTATGACACAGAAACAACCTGAATTCCATCAACAGATGAACAAATAAAATGTGCACACATATACAATGGGATGTTATTCAGCCATAAAAAAAGAAGGGAATCCTACTTTTATGACAACATGGATGAATCTGGAAAATTTAAAAATCTTAACAGCAAATGTACATTTAGTAAGTTTATATTTGGATCAGATTGCAATAAAGGTATTAAGATCACTGTGTAATACTATATAAACTAGAATATGCTAAGTGAAATAAGCCAGACATAGAAAAACTACTACTGTATGATTTCATTTACATGTGGAATCTAAAAGAGTCCAAGTCATAAAATCAGAGAATAGAATGAGGGTTGCCAGGGGATAGAGGAGATGGGGAGATGCTGGTCAAAGTGTACAAAGTTCCAATTGTAAGATGAATATGTTCTGGTGGTGTGATATACAGCACGGTGACTATAGTTAGCAATCTTGTACTGTATACTTGAAAGCTGCTTAAAGAAAAGATCTTATATGTTCTCACAAATTAAAAAAAAAAAAAAAAACAAAAACACCCAAGTGAGGTGATAGTAACTTACTATGGTAATCATCTTACAATATACACATGTATGAAATCATCACTTTGTACACCTTAAACCTCCACAATGTTATATGTCAATTATATCCCCAAAAAGATGGGGGAAGAATATGGGGCTGTCATCAAGAGCCAAATCTCTGAAAGGCTAGAAACACAAGTTTAGCTTCTCTGTAGACTCACACTGTACGTTGAGAGTACAGACAGACAACAGGAGCTCTGAGCTTAACACACTTATATTCAGGACATCTATCTATCTATCTATCTATCTATCTATCACTTAAGCTGTCCTTATTCTGATTTAGGGAAGAATGGCTGAAAGACTCTTAAGACTGAAGATTTCCCCTCCTCGGGTCCTTGTGAGAGGACTACTCCTCGCTGTGAGTCTCGCCAGCTCTCTGCGCTTGAGGATTAAGGATCTGATGATACCTGGTGGGAGTAATAATAGTAGTACCCAGCAGCACACACTGAGTGTGCTCCCTATGCCGGACACTCTTCTGAGACTTCTATGCAGGTCCACAATCCCTTACCTGCAAGGCTAAAGCCAGAAGGTTTTCACAGTTTATTTGGCGGCAGGTACTGACATAGGGCTAATTATAGTTTTGGGGAGTTTGGTTTTTAAATCTCATTTAGTGTAAAGACAAGCATGCCTCATTGTAGAAGCACCAATGCGTCTGCTTTATAGGTGCTGCTCCAAACCCCAACGGGAGTCCTTCATAAAACAGCATGTGCACTAAATCACCTTTCTAAAATCTAAACAATACTGGAACCAAAACCACCTCTGGTCTATAGCACGGTGCAGGGAATGAGCATGTCCTAAACACTCAGACGCTGAGCTAGCACGTACCGCCGCTTTTCAGGATAGCAGAAACAGCATGCTCTCTGCAGCCAGACCACCCAGGTTTTAATCCTGGCTCTGCCATTAGCAGTGTAGCTCTGGGCAAATAATGCAACCTTTCAAAATTTCAGTTTTCTCATCAATGTAACAGTGTTACTAATAGTAATCATCTTATATAACTATTCCAAAGATGAAAATGATTCATGCAAGTAGAAAGTGCTTACCACTTAGCAGTGTCCAATAACCCCAGTTACTATAATGTGGCAGGCATCACGCTAGGAAATAAGCACATTGTAGCCCAATCTCTTAACCTTCCATTTGCCCTACCCCCCAGCACACAGCAAACATTACATATTCCAATTTATTCAATTCCTTTAACTGTGAAATGGGAAACTCCGACCTCTTCAACTTCTAATAACTTGGTACCCCTGATACATAGAAATATAGTTAGGAATATCCTCAACTGAAAATATATACAAATAAAAATGAAGCCACAACATTTATTCAAGAGTGGTGGTTTCCAACAGGAACGTATTGGGAATAACTTAAATATTCTGAAAGATGAGATTTAGTAAATACGTCACAAAACAGAAAATTAATCATATTTTTTAAAATATTGTTAAAGAACACTATTTAATAAGCAAAAATGCAGAATGTATCACTGGTAAGAAGTTTATTAAAGTTTGCATACTGATTATTTTTTTCTGTATATACACAAAATACATACATATGCCAGATGAATATAGAGAAAAGTAGGCACCAAAATGTTGAAAGATCAGGACTTCCTCGGTGATATGATTTCTAGTCCCCTTCCTGCATTTTCTGTGTGGACCAGGCACAATTTGAAACATAGAATGGGATCATGTGACATACCACTCCTCACCATGGTCAGGAAGTGACCACTAATTACTCGGGTGCTTAGTGTGGCTGGTGGGGGCCATGCTGCACACATGTGGTCATCAGAGTTTCACAATGTTGCACCGTGAAAACCATTCTCCACACTACCTATGACAGGTTCATGAGCTGCCTTCAACCTTCTCTGGAATGTGGTGGGATGTAATGAAATTTTAAAATGTCAGTTCAGGAAATATTCTTGAATGCCTAAGATGATGACATAGTAAGACAAGACCATGAAGCTGATGAAATGCTAAAGTAAAATAAAACTCATCTTGCTTTTCTCCTCTAACACTACAGATCATTTTCATGTTTGTGGCAGTAGAAGGAAAAACTCAGAAAAAGAGGCTCCTTCCCAGGACTGTAACTTCAGGTTCTAGATTCTCAAGAACCACATTAACTGATATACAAGAGGGCATGTATGTTAAAATGCCCTTACTTAATTTGATCAAAAGAAATAGTACTCTTGGTATGGACTGGAAGACCACAAATTTAACACAAAATAGAGATGTAGTTTTTAAAAATGCCAAACATAGACATGTCTGTTTAAAGGCTTCATACTGAAAGCACTATAATGTTGGAAAAACTGCCAACATGACAGGAAGAAGTCAGTAAGTAACACACATCAACAAATGAGTTCTTACACACAGTTTAAGTGTCTGCACTTACAGCTACAACACATAACGGAGGATTTATCCCACTGTATTAAATAGAATTTCAATCTCCAATAACAGTTTCCACATGCAGTTCTCAAATCTAGTCTACACTCAGCACATCCAGAATTCACCGTACCTTCTCTGGCCCATTCCAACAAACCTGCCTTTGCATCCAGCCTGGACGGCCCTACCGGCCCCTCCACTTCTGCCCTTAACCCCCACGATCTATTCTCAACCCCCACGATCTATTCTCAACCTTGGCAGTCCTAGCAATCCTGTTTCGACATATCTCAGTTGGTGACGCTCCTCTGCTCCAAACCTCCCACCCTCTCCAAGTAAAAGTCAACCTGCTACAGCTTACAAGGCCAACATATTCTGGTCTTCTGACCTTCCAGATTTCGTATGCTCTCTCCTCCTAGCTCACTCTGCTCCAGACACACTGCTCATCTGCTTCAATCCCAACCCAGGGCCTTTGTACTTATTCCCAGGTCTCAAGTAGTCTCCCCCAGTAAAATCACATGATCTGCTCTCTCAAACTGAACTGAGAAGTGTTCCTTCCTGAACAGTCACTGCTCTGTCACACGTTCTGTACCATCTCCCGCTTCCTTTTCCCCTTTGCTCTTATTATTTAACAAACAATTAAGGCATCAATATTATCAGCTTCGAGTACACTACTAAACTGATACTGAAACTCGAGTTAAACAAGGTATTATGGGGCACCTGGTTGGCTCAGTCGGTTAAGCGTCCAACT